TAGCTGTTGCTATTGTTTCAATAGGGTTTATTTGAGTGTTCCTTTGAGATGGAGAAAAATCAATTTTGTGAAACACTTAGACGTTTAACATTTTGTGTCTGTGAAGCAAGACTGCATTGGTATCTGACTCATCTTTAATTCTTTGAATTTTTGTGATATTGTTGAATCAGGACCTACAACACCGCTTCCTTGCAGAAGAATTTCTTGCATGCTACAGCCACACTTAAAACCAAGGCCCTCCATTTGGTAACTCCTATGGCATGTTTTCTAATACTGCAGTGTCACAGATGGCTGTTAATTCTTCTTTAAAGTCAGAAAGCTGATCATCTTACAATCATTTATCCATTTATGTCAATTTACACTTGTATTTCTGCTGAAATATCTTACCAGCCTCTGAAAGCTTGCCTTTTAAATGATTAATATGATATTTTAAAAAACCCTTTTCTAGCTGGGCATTTGTGGTGCATGCTTTTAATCCCAGCACTTGGGAGGCAGAGGCAGGAAGATCTCTGTGAGTTCAAGGCCAGCCTGGTCTCCAGAGCAAGTGCCGGGATAGGCTCCAAAGCTACACAGAGAAACCTTGTCTAGACAAACCAAAAAAAGAAAAAAAAAAAAAACCTTTTCTAAAACAATGGAATCTTGAAATTTGCAGGAAAATGGATGGAACTAGAAGAAACCATTCTGAGCGAGGTAACCCAATCACAAAAAGACAAACATGATATGTACTCACTTTTATGTGGATCTTAGACATAGAGTAAAGGATTACCAGCCTACAATCCACACTGCCAGAGAAACTAGTAAACAAGGAGGACCTTAAAAGAGACAAACATTGTCCCCTGGAGAAGGGGAAAGGATCAAGATCCCCTGAGCAAATTGAGAGCAAGGGAAGAGGGGGGAGGGAGCTAGGAGAATGAGAAGGGAAGAAGAGGAGGGATACAGAGGACATGAGGGAGCAGAAAGGTTGAGTCAGGGGAAGAATAGAAGAAACGGTTTGTGATAGGTAGGGTTTCATTTGGGAGGGTGGTAGGGGAGGAAGGGAGGGAGAAGGGACTGGGATTGTTATGTAAATCAATCTTGTTTCTAATTCAAATAAAAAATGATAAAAAATCCTTTCCTTTTTTCCTTTTCTCCCTTCTCTTTCTCTCTTCCTTCCTTTTCCCCTCCCTTTCTGCCTCCCTCCCTCTTTTTTCTAGTTTATATAAAAAAGCCAAAAGACTTTGGAGAAACAATTTAAGAAGGCATTGGGAAATACATATGCCATTTCTTCCACAGATGAAGGGAATGTTAGGAGTGCTCAGATGTAGGAGGCCATTAGGTGAGTGGGCATCAGAAACTCAACATTAAACAGACTGTTAGGTTAAAGAGAACAATGAAGTAAGATTTTCACTATTGAGGAAGGGTTGAAATCACAGAGGATGACTTAAAAATAGACACAGTATCTTCTTTATCCTGAAGAGAAATATCAGAGACGAATTATTTACTGCTTTGATTTTGAAGGAAAGATATTAAAAGAGAGAATGGACTTCTTACAGAGTATGTACCTGATTAACTTGGGCTGTGAAGGAATTAACATCTTATAGAAAATGAGCCTGATTAACCTGTGGCATTAAATCAGAGGGGGCTGACCTGAAGGATAGTTGTCAGTCACAGTAATGGAAAAGTGATGGGGAAAGTACTTCTGTGTATGTTTATCTTATTGATTGTTGAATAAAATACTGTTTGGCCAATGAAACAGCAAGTTAGACAGGACTAGGAGTCAAAGAGGATTCTGGGAAATGTAGTAGAGAAGTGGTGTTCCAGGCAGGAAGTGACATAGCAAGAAGACTCATAAGCAAGGAGAAAGAGGAAGTGGCCCTTTTCCCCTTCACATCCTCCAGCGGCAGGATGTGAGCCACCGGCAAGAGAGGGCACCAGTGAAAGGCATTCTCTATAAAGATAAGTCTTATAACATATATAGATTTATGATAATTAAGACTGAGCTAACAGATGAGAAATCCTAGGCATTGGCCAAGCAGCTTTGAACCTAATACAAGTTTCTGTGTATTCATTTGGGCCTAACTCAGGCAGGCGGCTGGCGTAAAGCACACACATGGCGGTGGGGCTCAGGCGGCTTTTGGCAGAAAGATTTATCGTAACAGAAAAGGGTCGATGTCTTTTCTGACAAACATAGAGAAAAAGGTGAGCCTATGTATTCTTTCACAAAATTTAATTTTGTTCTTAATAAGATTTTAAAGGGAAATTCTTTTTTTAACACATTATTTAATTAATTATTTTAGAATTTCTAATGGTGTACCCATCTCCCACTATTTATTATAACTTGTTCCAGATTTCCATTCTAAGGTCCCCAACTTTATGTCCTCATTGTCTTTAAAAAATATCCCACTGAGTCCATTTTGTTCTGGCCATATAGGCTTGGGTGTGGGGCTACCTGCTGGAGCATGGTGAACCTATATTTAAGGAGAGAAAGGGTGATATTAAATATTGTGGTTCCAGTTTCTGAAACTTACTGAACTAGCACAGCAAATAATATACTAGCTACTTGCAGAGCATGGAGGATTAGAATAAGACCCATAGCGCTGGCATTAGCAAACCTTTCCAAAATTAAATGGGTATTTAGGATTCATGAATGAGAGACATAGACAAGAGTGAGTAGCAAATCCAGTTTGCCTCAAGTTCCCTGTAGCCTCTAGGGCCCAAGGACATTGAACAGCCAGGAGAGAATATCTTCTAGTTGCATTTCTGTTGCTGGGATAAGAATACTCCAGCCAAAAGCAACTTAGAGGAGGAAAGCAGTTATTTGGCTTCTACTTCCAGGTCGTATTCCACCACTTTGGCAATTCAGGGTATGAACTTAAAGAGAAATGTAAAGCAGAAACCATGGAGGATCACTGGTTACTGGTTGCCTTCTGCTTGCTCGGGCTCATGCTTAGCTAGTTTTCTTATACATCCCAGGCCTACTTGCCTAGGATGGTGCTGTCCATCGTGAACTGGGCCCTCCCACATCAATCATCAATCAAGGAGGTACTCCACAGACTTGCCTACAGGGCAATCTGTTCTAGGCAGTTCCTTGAGAGCTGAAACTGAGTTATGTACCACCTGCCCCTAGTTCTTTCCACCATAAGCAAGTTAGTTTTCTCTTAGCTAAAATGAAAGTAAGACAAGAGCAATAGTGGAGTCAAATGAAGCTTGCTACCCTACACGATACAGATAATGGTAACACCAGACTATTCAATTTAAAGAATATACACCATGTGAAGGTAAGAAAAACTACCATGAATGCTAAGCAAGAGGGAAAAGTGTTGCTGCTCTTCTAGATAGACCTGTCCTTGCCAAATATAATAACGAGGCCACTGGGTCTGCAAACAATGGTTCCACATTCTCAAGTAAGAGCCAAGACAAGTTTTAAAGGAATAACCTCTTTCTAGGCTTGAATAACTAAGCAGCACTCTGAGTCTGAATTCTAGATGGCATATTGCTCATGCCAGCTACAGAAAGCCCAGGATTTAGCGACAGCCAGACACTGCAAGTAAAGGACTTGCCTCAAAAGCTTGATGGCCTTAGTTTAGTCTCCACAACCACAGCAAAAGATGGAGAGACCCGACTCCCAACTCCACAGTATTGTCTGCTGACCTTTTTCATGCACACTGCAATGCATGTGTCTCTATGTGTACACACACACTAATATCAATAATAATAATAATTTTTTAAATAACCCTGACTTTAGGCCAGTGAGATGGCCCACCAGGTAAAGTACTTGCTATGCTAAATTAGATCCCCAGAACCCATACAAAGGTAGAAGGAAAAAGCCAAACCCACAAAATCATTCTCTGGCCTTCCCATGCACACTGCATCATGGGCCCTGTCCACAACACCCCCCCCCACACACACACATGTACACACACACATGCACATGCATGCACACACACACACACACACACACAAGAACAATAGGTTAGTTTTTAAGAGCCCTGGCATTATATCCCAACTCTGCTACTGACCCCTGTGTGGTCTCAGGCAGCACGGTCAGCCATGCTGCCCCTCAGCCTCATCACTGAGAATGGATATTCAATACTGTATCATAAGATCTCTGTGGGAACTTGATACAATGACTCACATAAAGGCATTTGGCCTGGCATTATATCCCAACTCTGCTACTGACCCCTGTGTGGTCTCAGGCAGCACGGTCAGCCATGCTGCCCCTCAGCCTCATCACTGAGAATGGATATTCAATACTGTATCATAAGATCTCTGTGGGAACTTGATACAATGACTCACATAAAGGCATTTGGCACTACACCTGGCAAATATCCTTCATTTGGTAAGCATGACTGCCAAAACTTGCCACTGAGTGCCCATTAGAAAGTACAACAGAAGGGGGCAGAAGAACTGAGGTGTCCTTTCCACCCAGAAACATGACTCTACCTGAGGAGACGGGTCCAGCAGACAAACTGGCAAGGCGACCATATGAGACAACCCACGGGGGAGATGTGGTTTCCGAGTCTACATTTTTAGCAATTTTTAGCATTTTAGCATTTGTGTCATATAACACCTGGCAGGCTTGTGGCCAGACTCTTTGTCATCATGCTTCATCCCATTAGAGGTGGGAGAGGGCTACCTAGGAAAGAGAACAGAGTGTAAATGCTTTGTGGGATGGAGAAGACTGAGGAGGGTGTGGAGGATGCAAAGGACATGTGTAGCTCGGAAGTGAATGAGTGGCCTCCTGGTCACATGGGATGCCATGGTGAATATCAAAAGGCAAGAGAGGAAATTGGGGCCAAGGGGACATGTTCAATTGACGTCTCTGCCCACTCTATGGGCATAGACAAATGCACCTCTCAAGTCATACAGCAGCTTTCAACTCTTATTAGCCCGAGAACCACTAAGGCAACCTTTGCCAGAGATGAAAATTGAGCAGGCCTAGCATAATTAAACTTCAGGAGTTTATATTCCTGTCATGCATGAGCAATTGACCATGAATCCTAATGAGATGTGTTCTACCTTCGAAAGTGCCATCGATATCCCAGACACTTTGTCCCAGCTCTTCATTGTCTTTGTTACTGTGATCATAGCAAGGTGGATCATAGCCTAAAAACATGAATATTGACAACAGACAGGCTTGGGTGTGAGTTCTGGCTCTGTCCCCTATGCAAGTGACTTTGCTCTTGGCATCCCAGGTTTTTGCATTTATACCGTGGTATATACCAACGATACTTGCCTCGTAGGGCTGTGGAGATAAGACAGTCTACATGATATGGGGCATGATACTTTTGAGCTCCTCTTGTAAGTGTGTAAGCCCAACTGTCTGCTTGTTTCTATAAACTCTCATTCAAAGCACATTTGTGGTTAAAAGTCAGTCACAGGCCACCAGCTGCCTGGAACGCACCATCCCAAGCTGAGAACATCATGCAGGTAAGATACGTGGCAAGGGACTGGGGCAATTTGGTTGAACAATGGTTATCCAAAACACGTTAGTGCTCCATTACCTATCTTACACACAGGTTAATGCTGAGTGAGTGATCAGGGAGGGGTTCCAGGGTAAGCTCCAGGTAGGCAGGCAGGGCTCTGTTTGGCTCAGCTTAGTGGTTCCCTCCAGTGAACTTTGCCCAATGTAGTGATGGCAGACACAGCAGGTGGGTAGGTATCTGTTGACTGACTAGCTTTGCAGGCAGCAAGCTTGACAGGACTGCAAGCCTCAAGTGAGTTTTGGACAAGCAGAGTGACAGCAGGAGGCTGAAAAACAGACAAGGGTCTCACCGTTGTCCTAGAAATGAATGGATTTGGGGCACATTGTTGAATTTTCGTAGCTAGGGCATCAGACAATACACATATAAAATGTGATTCTGGGTGCTCCATCTGTGCTCATGAAACCTGGCCCACCTTGGAGGAATATTGTATAGCACTGCTAATTAGTGTCAGTAATGAGCTTCAGAGCTAACAGCGAGTGCTGAATCGATGTCAGTTATTCCTTTGGAATAACCTGACTCGGGTGCAGTGGCTCCAAGCCTTTAGTGTAAAGACTATGTGATGCCCTCCCAATTTTGTTTCTAGCTTTTTAAAAAAATAGATCAAAAGGAAACCAAAATCTTTAGCAATATCTGCATTTTGAGGCTTTGCCACCTCATATAGTATGCGGAGGGGCAAGAGCATTGGTCTGGAAGTCTAGAGATTGTGCTTAGTTCCAGATCTCCAGCCATCCTGGAGCCTTGATTTCCCTACCTGTAAAAGAGAGAGGTCCAGACCCCTCAAGACATCTGGCTTTAAAGTTCATGAGCACAGTGGCTTTGTTTTTCTCTAGGCTCCTTTAGAAAATTTTCTTAGTATGATATATACATGTTCCTGTATGCATGCATATGTAGACATTCATATACATATATGGGGTGTCTTTCTCAATCACCTACCTTTTTTGTGTGGGTGTATGATGTGTGTGTGTTCATGTATGTATATGATGTCTATGTGTGTGAGTGTGTGTGTGTGTGTGTGTGTGTGTGTGTGTGTGTGTGACACACACATGCAACATGGTCTTTCACCTTATTTTGAGAGAGTCTCTTTAGTTTGTTGTTCACTGATGTAAAAATGAAGCTATCTGGCCCATGAGCTTCTGCTGATTTCACCTTCTAACTCCCCACAGGGGTGCACTGGGGCCATCAATGCATCTGCCACTGTGCCAAGCCTTTCGTAGGTGCTAGGTATTTAAACTCAGGTCATCAGGGCTGTGTGGCAAGCACCTTGCCCTTTGAGACATCAGCACAATCTTCTTATTTCTGAGACAGGGTCTTTCATGAACCCAGGCTTTACCGATTCAGGAGGTCTAGCTGTCCAGCAGTGACAGGGACCCTCCTGTCTCCAGCTCTCTAGCATTTGGATTACAGGCATTTGTTGGTGCACCCAGACATTTACAAGGATGCTGGGATTTGAACTCAGTACTCAAGTCCCTATGTTTGCATGGCAAGCACTTTACTGACTGCTCTATCTCCCCAGCTTTCCCTCTAGACTTCTGAAAGAGCAAATGACAAGCATAAAGTTTTCAAAAATCTCTTATTATGCCACGTGACTCTTTTATATTCAATATATTATTTATGAGCTTGTTAGACCCAATAATTGCCACTTCCTGACTTCCATTTTTCAAGTAGTTCCAACATTCATTATTTGTTTTGGAAAATGATTTCCTATGAGAGTCCATCTTATACTCCCAATAAACAACAACAAACAAAAAATAGGTGCTTTCAATTCAGTGAAAGGATTTGGAAGGGAAAACAAGAGAATAAACAGTGCAGGGTTACTTGAAGACAAGTATTAGCCTGCGTTAATTAGCAGAGGACTCCTCCCAACTCAGGTGCCATCACTCTTGTGTGTGATTCCTAGTTCTGAGCATGATTTCAAGCGTGTCTGATGGAGAACAGCTCTGTTTATTTTTGTTTGTTTAAGCACCAGTACAACTCATGCCAGGCTGAGTAGAAAAGGATATGTGTTTTAATTTATTTTTATACCTATTCCTTCAGGGAAGGCAGACTACTAAAAGTTACAGGCTGGTAAATATTTTCCACTTGTTTTCAAGACTGCAGTAAGTGAATAGTTTTTCACTTGGCTGTATGTTCCTTGCTCAGAAATGCCTTTAACTATCTCAGTCAAAGTTCAGGTCTCTAACAAAAAAAATGTTATCACTTCTCTCCTGGAGCTTGTCACTAATGAGAAAGAAAACAGGCTGGATTTTAGTCATGCAAAATATAATCTTAGACTTCTCTGGAACATTATGAAGAAATGTGATAAGTCCTTAAATTCACTTAAAGCTCATCCCCACCCACTCCTAAAACAGATTTGAAGTGACTAAGAGGCTAAGAAAATGAAGCTGCAATTGGAATTCATCATTATTTTTGGTGCTGGAGGTGATTTGGTTAGTAGAAACTTAATGGGCTAAAGCTCATTATTTGGTAAGGATTTATAAGTTCTTTTATTGCTTTTTTATTGTCACCAATACTGATGATTTGGAAAACAAATGCAAATGCTTCTAAACCTACAATTTTGGGAAAGCTGATCTTAAAGCATTAACATCAAATTTGTAGATAGTGAGGTATATGCTGGATGAATGCAGTCATGGTAGATGTTCTAGTTGCATTATGTTGTAGTGATAAAAGACTTTGACTAAAAGTATCTTAGGGAAGGAAAGGGCTTGTTTGGTTTATATTTCCAGGTCTGCACATCACTGAAGGAAGTCAGGGCAGGAATGTTAGCAGGAACTTGAAGAAGCCATGCTTGCTAGCTTGCTCACTTGGGCACCTGATTAACTAGACTTCATATATAACCTAGGACCATCTACCCAGAGAATGGTTGGTCCCACAATGGGATGGGCCTTCCTATATCAATAAACAGGGAAGGCAATCAATCCCTCACAGACATATCCACAGACCGATGGGATGAAGACAATTACTGAATTGAAACCCTTTCCAGATGCTTCTAGGCCATGTCAAATTGACAGTTAAAGCTAACTAGGATGCTAGGTGACTTGGTAAAATTGTCATCCTTAGAATAATAGACTTTAAAATGCTGTTGTTACTATTACATTTAATGTTAAATTATCTCAGATTTAAAGCTGGTTACTTCTCAGAAGATGGATGCTTATCTAGGAAAATTAGAAATGGAGCTGGTAATAATCTCAGGTGAATGGACTTCCACCTTGCTATGTAAGTGTTTAGTATGATGTAGAGTGATTGGAGAATTATAATTAATCAATTCAAAGGCACACATTCAAAAATAGACCAACGTCTTTGAGATTCACATGGACCTTAAGGTTGATATGGACCAAGAAATATGGTTTTCATTTGTTTCTTTTTTAAGTTTACTTTTATTTTTGACAACTTTGTATGTGTGTAGAATGTATTATGAACATATTTACCCCATTGCTCTCTCTTCTTCCTCTTCCACTCTGTTGACTACCTTATTCTTCCTAAGTGGACTCGAACTATCGTTCCCTCTCTCTCTCTCTCTCTCTCTCTCTCTCTCTCTCTCTCTGTGTGTGTGTGTGTGTGTGTGTGTGTGTGTGTGTGTGTGTCCTGAAGACAGAGTCTGAATTGAAGCACTGTTTTGCATCCCCCAGCTCTTAGTCTTTTGTGCATCTCATTTGTGATGCTTCCTTTGCCTTTGAGGCAGGTGACATAGGTGTCCTATTTAAAGCTGAGCATTCAACAACCAGTATTCTCAGTGGTCTGACCAGTTATAAGTCTTCATTAGTAGTCACCCTCTACAAGAAGCTTCTCCAAACTAGTATGAGAGCAGCACTAGTTTATAGGGATAAACCTAAATATTTGGGAGGCAATTTGGCTACATGTCCATTTGGCAGAACATCAGTAGCATTTTCCTCTAGGGTCTGTGATTACACAGGAGCAAACATGGTTAGAATGCTTAGAGAATGAAAACACTCAAAGCCCAAAGTGTCTACATTCTCTCAATGCTGTTATGAAGAAACCACTTATGGACTGTTGGAAACAGGACCTGAATCTCGTTGTTTGAAAGCTTTCAATTGACAACTTGGTAAGATGAAGTAAGTACCAATATTCAGAACTCACAGAACGGGTTTTGGGACTGGCATAAAATCCAGAGGGAACCATGTAGAACCCATCCACTATGTTGTTGTCAAAACTTGAAGCCGAATATTTATTCAGAAGGTTGAACCTTGAATGAGAAAATGTCTTAGGCATAGCTTAACAAATTTATTGCACTTAATTTTATTATATATTTATAAAATATGATTTATATAGTTACTTATCAGATAATTTTCTTTCTTTAATGCACATGAGATGATAACTTATGGTATCATATTATAAACAAAACATGGACTTATATTATTTCAGTTCTATAATTAAGATGGGTGAGGCCACCAATGATGAAAATGTAGCCCTGTAATTCCAAAGAAGCAAAAATAATTAAGAGAAAGTTAGGACACCCTGTATTATTGTTTCAGGAAGCCTGGTGCTCTTTCAACAGACGCCTCTGCTTCAGGAGCTGACTCCTTGACTATGGGAAAAAGTGAGACCATGAACTACACAGATGTTTCCAATTTGGAGCTGGGGAGGCCCACGTGCCTACAGCATACTCTGTTCTTAAGGATCATGGGAATCTATTTTCCAGCCTCCCTCAACCTCATGTTCAATGTATATACAACAGACATTTTTTGTAAACATGCTTTATGCTACCTCCTGCCCCATTTCCACCAATAAATCTGCAGATTTTTTGTTACCTCCTTCTCAGAGAATTTTGGGTAAAACGTTAACAACGTTGGTTTTAGTTTTAAAGCTTATAATAACAGAGGATGGATCCTTCTAAATGTTGATGTAATAGGCAGATAAAAGCATCCCATTTCTTTAGGGAATGCATACCTTGTAAACCTAGGAAAAACAGCAGCCAACTACATTGAACTCTAAGATGGAACAGACTGTATTTTTGTGTAAAGCTAGGATCTTAGGATTAGGACTTCAGATAGATTTGAACATGTGACAGGATACCAGTAGTACTTATCTTAAGATAAAAAGCCAATAAAAATATTTCATGGGTTGGAGAAATGAGTCAGTGGCTATGAGTGCTTGTTTGCCCAAGCATGACGACTGGAGTTTGGATATCAGAACTTACACAAGTTGGATATCTGACAAATGCTTGTTATTCCATCTCTGGGAGATCTGACACTCTCTTCTGACCTCTGTCTATGTAGATACCACCACACACATATACATTGCTATGTGCTCACAGACACAGACATGGCTACATGCACGTAGGCACAGACAAGTTCATAAATAAAGAAATCTTTGAAAATATTCCAAATTTGTTATAACCAACACTATCATATTGAAATACTCTGTTTTAACATCAATGCCAAACTATTGTGGAATATTATTTAATGAGGCAAACATATGTTACATTTGTTTATGTTGAGGAATATTACTTTAACAATGTAAAGGTGTGTTATATTTGTTTATGCTGCATTTGCTTAACAATGTAAAGATGTGTTGTTTTGCTTTCCTAAGGTACCTGATAGGTCAAATAAAAATCTGACTGGCCAGCAGATAGGCAGAAGAGGGATAGGTGGGGCTGGTGGGCAGAGGGAATAAGTAGGAGGAGAAAAGAGAGAATGAAGGAGAAATAGAAGGAGCTGCTCAGGATCAGCCAGGCAGGCAGCCACCAGTCAGCCAGATACAGAGTAGGACATACAGAATGAAAGAAAGGTAAAAGCCCTGAGGCAAAATGTAGATGAAGAGAAACATGTTAAATTAAGTTATAAGAGCTACTGGGACAAGCATAAGAGAAGGCTGAGAATTAATAACTAGTAATAAGTCTCTATGATACATTTTGGGAGCTGGTTGGTGTTTCAAATGAAAGCCTGCTACACCAAACCTATTGCTAATTCTTGGACAATGGTCTATTTTTCTCCCCTAGTAATTTGCATATTATACTTTTAAGGTGAACAAATGGATGGGAGAGTCTCTGGGGGTCATCAGGACAATCTATTGCCATTATTTTCAAACCTTACAATCAGGAGAATGGACTCTAAAGTCCACATGTGACTATATGGCTAGCAATAGACTAGAAACTGCAAGACACAGGTATGTATCACAGTTCCAGGATGAGATTAAAAACCAAAGAAGATGAAACTCTCTTCTCTCTGTACTCATTCATTAAAAAAATATTTGAGCATCAATGATATGCTAGGTGAATGCCTGGATAGCTGGGACATAACAGTGAATGAAGCTCACCCTTTCTCATGGAATCTGTATTTTGTGGGAGAAAGAGGCAAATAGCTATAGTTAATTATACATAAATCATATAGTACCTTAGATGGAGATAAGTAGAAAAGTTAAAAAGTAGATACCGTTAATATAACCTGGTAGGAGAGTGGCTATTAGGGAGAAGATAATTAGGATAGACTTTAGAAGCTGAAATGTAGGTACAAACTTGAGGAGAGTTGGGGAAAAAATCAATGGGAAAATGCCTATCTCCAGAACAGACACAAGAACCTAAACAGTCCCAAATGCTGGGGCATGCCTGGAGTATTGGACAGACTTAGGAGGTAGGGAAGGAGTGAGTGGCCAGGCAAATGAAGAGGGCATGAGGGAAGGGCAGGTCACCTGCTCTGTGACTTCGAGCCCTCCCCTGACAAGTGTTGTGGGCCTCAGCTTCCCTCTGACACCAGACAGTCCTGGGTCACCTCAGTCTTCACACAGGAGGCTTTTGAACTTCACACTCCACTTTTCTAGGTCACAACCAAGTTCTTCCTTTGGAAAAACTCAGGTTTCTGTTTCAGGCCAGGTCTTTTCTTAATACTTCTGTCCATTCCTACATTGTTGCATTTTTGTACTATGAAATAATACCTGACTTAACCCATGTGTTGTGCAAATCAAATAAAACAATAACAAATAAACAAAGCAAAACTAAAACTCCCATGATTTCTATTTAAAGAACTCTGTCTGCCCATCTCTGAAGGAGTATATATTCACTTACACCTACCAAGTAAACAGTGGCCAAGGACTAGGTCATGGATAAGCTCTTTAGAGAAACAGACCTGGGTCAAAAGAGACAACTCTTTCCATGGAAACCATACAACCACCCCTTCTGTTTGCTTGTTTTGACAGTCTCATTATGAAGCTCAGACTAACCTTGCATTTGTAATCCCAATCTAGCTTTCCAAGGGTTGGGCTTACAGATCTCTGCCACAATACCTGCCCCACTTCTGGTATCCAGAGTTCTGGGCTTGTTGTAATTAATATTTCTTCCCTCAGTTCTTTGATACCAGAATTCCCATTTGCTCCATTCACCACAGGCCCACTTGTAGGTTTGAGGATGGACACATAGCCAAGTGACAGGAAAAGGACCTGTCTCAAGAGCTTCTCTACTAAAGCTGATGTGGAGATGTTACTGGGAGGATCGCTAACTATGTTCTGAGTTACTTGTGGCAATAGTGCTTCCAAGATGGAAAAGGGAGAGGCTGAGTTCTGATGACAAGGCAAAGGGCATGGTACCGTGGTAGGGGAACTGATGACACGGCTAGGATCCTGGTGACATGGTGGAGGATCTGATAATGTGGCATGGAACCCAATAATGTTGTAGGGGACCTGGTTCTCTGGTAGAAGACCTGGTAATGTGATAATGATCCATACTTCTTGCTCTACCTGAACCTGTAGTGGTCTTGTTATTTCAAGTTACTGGAGGTATCATTACACTGGAGTGAGCTAAGTTGCTCTCCTCACAATCAAAAGAATCTTAAGAACACAGGCATCACTTGATTTCAACCCTCTTTTCTAACAAATAACAATGATTCCCACCAGGTCTAGGTAACATAAGGCTGTAGGGGTAGTGAAGCCTCTGGGTGTCAGAACTGTCCTGTTGATTTGTCAACTTGACACAAACTTGAGTTACCTGGGAAGAGGAAACCTCTATAGAGGAGTTACCTCCATCAAACTGACCCACAGGTCCATTTTCTGTGGGCATTTTCTGAACTGTTAACTGATGTAGGAGAACCTAGTCCACTGTGGGCAGTGTCTTTCCTAGGGAGGTAGGCCTGGGCTGTATAATAAAAGTTGCTATACAAGTCACAGAAGCAAGCTAATAAGCAGTTCTCTGTTTCAGCTCTTGCCTTGGGGCTTCCCTTGATGACAGACTCTAACGTGTAAGACGACCCAACCCCCCAACACACACTGGAGTTGCTTTTGGTTATGGTGTTTATCATAGCGACAGAAAACAAATTAATATACCTGTTATGGTGATAAATTTGTTCTCACGGGCCTCATGCTTTGTCCATTGCTGGTTTGGAATTCTATATACAACAGTTTCTCCTTTAGTAAAGAGAAGAACTGGTTTCCTTCTCTAACTCATGTATCCTTAGTTAGAGCTTAATTATTATAAAGATCCCCAAAGGACCTTAGAAAGTTAAATTAGGCTTATCATCATGCAAAATTTCAAGCTCACTTAGGAGGGCCCTAGAAATGCAATTCCTTCATATCCCCTTTCTTCCCCCAAATGAAAATTTTCTAGCTACGAGGTAAATTTGTTTCACATCTAAAAGCAATTAATGTTATTAGGATCTAAGACAAGCCAAGAGGAAAAATGGGTTTATGAAAAATTTTCCTCTTTACTTGTTTCTTACCTTGCTGTTTCCCAACATCTTGTGTCACTGACACCATGACCCACAGTGCTCAGAATCATACTAGTCTCCAGTGTTGCCCCTGCTAACAGACATCCATAGTATCCAAAAGTAACTACAGAGGAATCCATCTCTGGGTATATATTGGAAATAATTGAAAACAAGATCTTGAAGAGGTATTTGGACATCCATATTAATTGTGACATCATTCAAAGTAGTCAAAAAGTGCAAGAAAACTAATACTAAACTAGTGGATTAAAAGATGAAAAAAAATAACAGGGTTTGCATTTAATGGCATTTTGATCATCCTTAAAATGAAGGGAAGTTTACCATATAGCTGCAAGTGTTGGAGCCAGGATCCAGAGTCTGATTAATTTGATTCCATAGCCAAAGGTAATATTTTCCCTGTTCAT